TCTTTTCTCACTTCTCATTCCATAATTTAGGTTGATAAAAATTAACTATTTTATGTAACATGAAATCTAGAACCAATATATCATATAAGAATTCTCAAAAAATATAGATGTCATTGTATAATCATTTTTGTATTGTGACACAAACAAAATTTAACTAATTTCACTTCTTAACATACCCTGTCCAACATGCCACTTAAAAGTTCTCTCAAAATCAAATGCAATACATTAACAGTTAATTTATGGAACACGTCAAATTCAAGGTATTGACATTGATAAAAGAAATAAACATAATTTCAAATAACTAGTACTTTATCTGTGTAGTGTTCAAAACATGCATAGTTATGTTAAGTCTCAATTTTCCATTCTCCAAAAAAACTTAGATAAATATTTTATTTCATCTTAAACTTTTAATATGATAAGTATTCCTATGTGGGGGCAAGTTTCTAAAGACGAGACCTAAAAAAATTATGATTTATTTCAGTGTGAAATTTATTCTTTTTTAAAACTAACCCAAGTTGGGGCTAGAATCTTTTATGAACATTTAGAGGTTATTCCTACATAGGACATCACTATAGAGGGGTCTCACTATATATATAATGCATGCGCAGGAAAAGGCACTAGCCCGGTATGGAATGAGAAGTTCGAGTTCAGGGTGGACTCTCCATTTGTAGATGACAATCAATACAAACTCGTGCTCAAGATCATGGATCACGATACCTTCAGTGCAGATGATTATCTCGGGGAAGCAACGTAAGACATTATGGAATTTATCAAATGCACATATTCTTTAATATACATTCAATCTTATTCTTTTCTAGTCCAGTGTAATTTACCGTAGACTAAATGCATTGTAGGATCTATGTGAAAGACATTATAAAAATAGGGGTGGAAGAAGGAAAGGCTGAACTTCATCCTCAAAAATATAGAGTTGTCTCCACTGATCAAACTTATTACGGAGAGATTCAAGTTGGAATTACTTTCACTGCAAAGGTGCACTTTTATAATATTCCTCAAACTCTATGAATTAATAAGATGAAATTAATTGCCTTTTCATTTTCTTAGAAGTAGAATATAACAATCTATTCCTGGTGTACAAGGTTTGATCAATGTTAATTTTTTTATTACAGCAAAAAACTGTTGAAGAAGAAGAATATGGCGGATGGAAGGAAAGTGACTACTAGTTTTCCTACCGGCTACATGGAACTTTCTGCAACCAATACTTTAATTATCAGTGAATAATTTAGAAGTATGTAATAATCCCTTTCTGTATCTTTGAAGTAATTAAACTGCACAAATATATTATTTTGGCAAAAATGTACTTATTGTAAAATAGAATGTGTTGTTAAGGATAAATCTCACAACGTTTAAATATCGAAATATAAACAATATATAAGGGTTTAGACTACTCTTTTTTGACATTTTAAATTGGAACTCTAAATCTTGACATGGTATTAGAGCACATTAAATTTCAACGAGCAATTCGATCCGATTATAACTCAGTAATGAGTACATGAATTTCAAGATAAGCATGCTCAAATAAACCGCCATCTTGTAGGAGTATGTTAAGGGATAAATCTCACATCGATTTAATACCGAAATATAAATCAACATATAACAGTTTGGACTACTCCTAGTGTTGACTTTAAGATGGACCCCAAGTGTGCATTTTCGTTTTGGAAAGCATTCACTTAACAAAAATATAAGGCGCTACTCTACAAATGTGAAAATCTTACTGAATTGTAAACATTTTAGATAGATTTAAAACCCGAAGATGTCTTGTCACATATCAAAGATAATGTTAGCCATACTTTTGCTAGTTAATTATTATTTTTGGAAAGAAAGAATTAACATGTAGCAAAGTGGAAGTTATGGGTACATTTCATGACATGATATAGTCTCTTGTACGAGAAATTAAAGTCGATTATTGCTAATTACTTATGTGTGAGAGATAAAAGTAAAACTTAAAAGAATAATTACAAGTGAAATTCTAAAACCCTACTCTCCAACAATGTCCATTGAATTTTCATGTGTCAATATTGTAACCAACCCATCATTAAATGCATTTTATGTATTCGTACAAAAATCCCTTGGTTGAGGAGGGGTTCAATAATTTCACAAGATGATCAAACAAAACCCTAAAAAAATAGTATGGACCAACATGGTGTTAATATTAACAATTAGGGTGTATTTGATTATCAATATTTTCCATGAAAAATATGTTTTATCCACCCAAATTCTTACTTTTATATTGTTTAATTGACATTTTTTCCATGAGAAATATTTTTCTACTTTTGGTTATGTGACTATACTTTTCTCAAAATCAAGGAAAATATTTTTTTTAGAGGGAGTAAGATTTTATTTTTCAGAGAATTCATTTTCTCATTCATTTATCCACTCTTTCTTATCTACCCACCAATAAAAATCTGACAAGTATTATTTTCTGTAAGTTGAAAATAAAATGAATCAAACATATTTAATCAATAATTTTTATGCAAATAAGTTCTAGGCAATTGAATCTTTTAGATTTTTTTTATTCCATATAAATTTCATGCTTGCAATCAAACGCCCCCTTAGAGTTAAAATAACTCAGCAACCTGAATTTTTTATGTATATTGACAATATTACTACTATTATTAATTTTCAAGAGTTAATGTATACTAGGATTTTGATGAAGAATTATCTGCACTGTGTATGTAAAACATGATCTATGTTGTTTGTTTTGGTTCCCAAGTCAAATCTTGTTATTCCTCCCTAGATACCGATAAAATGCTCATACAAAACATTTGGTATCAACGAAACATGCAAATAATATTTTTCATGACATTTTGTATTAAAGGGATGTTGTATCTAAAAATGCTACCATTGGGATTTATTTCGAAATATGTAAAGTTTGAATTTTTTTTTTTGTCAAAAACAAAAAATCTAAATTAAAATCTAAGCATCCGTTTACTTGTAGAACAAAAACAATATGTTCAATTGGTCGGTACTGACTGGATTTTTTCCAACTCAATTTTCACATTTATTTATTGTTCGCAAATATCACAGGTCACTGAAGCTTTCTTTGAAAACACCAATAAGGTTGTCGTTTAATGACGAAAGAGAAGAAGCTTAAGGTTAAATTTTGAAAATTCAACTTCAATTCACAAAAGGGTAAGCCAATTATTCTGGTATTCTTTAGACTTTTTCTAAAATGTTGCAATTATTTTAATCATGTTGAAATCTTGTGGATGACTCAAATTGGAAGGGCCAATAGAAAATATCCAAGAAAAGACTATGGGGGAAACTTTGGACTTTGAAGATACAATTTAATCATTTAATTGAATAGTAGTACAGTAACTAATTAACTAGTTATGTTTTGAATTCAATTTTGTATTCAAATATGTCAAATGATTGCCGCGTGCGTAATTACAACTATTCAACCATTTTTATTTTTTTTTAAATCAAAGTTAAGCCAACTGTAGACGCAGCCTCTTGCCTATAAAATGAATCCCCCCTCAGAAATTGAATCCTACGAAGACGAAAAGACTGTTCTAAAGATTCTCTTATATTAAATTCGTATCCTTAATTTCTACACACAGAGACTTTAATATCTTTAAATATTATACATTCTTAGGGAGAGAGAGAGAGGGATGGCGATTGGAATAATGGAGGTGAAGCTGGCGGGTGCTAAAGGTCTCAGACACTCTGATTTCCTAGGTATGCGTGGCACTGTGTATGTGATTCTCATATACAGATATACCGTGTTGAGTTCAATGAATCATGCATTTCTTTAATGCTGAGAAGAAAAAAATCATTATTAAATGATTTGAGCTCTTTTTCTCATATTGAACCCAAAAATAATTTCTTAACTAGATTTCCTTAATTAACATTTTTCATCTTTAGTCATATTGAGCTCCGGAGGGAGTTTGCTTATAAAAAGATGATAGACCGGTCCTCTTCTCTGCTCGTGGCTATCTTAACCATCGATTCAATTGGTTCAAAACCTATTCAAAATGCTATTCAACCTTCTATTCTTCGTCCAGATCTAGTAAAGTGGAAAACAGAAGTTTAGGACTAAAATATTTCATTGGTGCAATTGAATTGGATGAATCAATCCAAAAACTTTACTCTTCTTTAATCATATCGAGTCTTTTTCAATGTAACTTCTGAATGTGGTTTCCTTGATGAAACTACGTTCTTGTTTTTTCTTTTTCTTTTTTCTCTCTAAAAAGTTTAATATCACAAAAAGTCCTCGTATAATGGCCCATCAATGTGATTATGCTTTACATTGTAGTCTATTACTTGACATATAAAACAATTGACAAAATATTTTGATTCTTTAATCACGAGAAATTATACACGCTTCAAAGTATCAAATGTGGATCCTTTATTGTATTATTTATTTTCTACAACTTATTCGTATTCTAATCCTAATACCACGAGAACTTTAAAAGAGACCGGTCAATGTGATTTTAAATAGCTGATCATATGTCATATGTTGGATATTGGTTAAATAAATTGAGAATTGAAAATCGATTAAAGTTCGTATCGAATTCGGCCAAATACTCAAGAGAATTTTGATTTCTCTGCACGTAATGAAGGGTATATTTGGCATTTCGAAAACCAATATCGGATGAATGAGAAATTACGAAAAAGGCCTCAACCATTAGTGAATAGACACTTTTTCATAAAGGTGCATTGTTTGGAAAGGGTGCATGGTTTGGCCTCAACCATTTCGTCCACATCCCTTTATGGTCTATAAATAGGACCCTTTGGGTGTCCTATTCCTCACAGTTTGATATGCAAAAACGTCTCTCATCCTCTCTTCTATCCAAAATCAAAATCATTTCATTTATTTTGATTTTCTTTCATTTCATCTGTGGAGTACATAAGCCTACATTTGGTTCGTTGTACTTGTGTTTTGGAGTGCTACAAACACAAGTGTAGCCGTTGTATCTTGGGAGTCGATTGTCGAAATCCGTAGACACCGTTGCGGGGCAAATTCGACTTAAGGACAAAGAGTCCAACTCTTGCCTCGGCTTTGTCACCATCATTATACTTATTTCGACGTCACTATTCACAAAATTCTTCCAACATCATATACATTATTTTGCAGGTAGAATAGATCCATATGTTTTGCTTCAATACAGAAATCAAGAGTACAAAAGCATAATTGCAAAAAGTAACATTCCTCACGCGAGTGCACAATAATTTGGTTTTTCAAGTTAGATAAATACACTACTTGTCAACATATTCAAAGAATTTACTTGCTCTGACAATGCTCCAACAGTAACAAAAAATAAAAATAAAAAAATGACATACTTTTTAGAGTCAAATATAAAATAACTAATGAGATTTTAATTCTATAATCATGTAGGGCAAGGTCGCAATCCAATATGGAATGAGAAGTTTAAGTATATAGTCGATTATCCAGTGGATGATGATCAATACAATCTTGTGCTCAAGATCATGGATCACGACACGTACACTGCAGATGACTATCTCGGCGAGGCAAAGTAAGACAATATGATATTTACCAAAACATCTCTTATATAATTGTGTCTAGTCTTATTCTAATTAGTCTGGTATAACTTATCATAATCTACATGCAGGATCTATGTGAAAGAACTTATAGAATTAGGAGTGGAGAAAGGAAAGGCTAAACTTCGTCCTCGGAAATACAGAGTTGTATATACCAACCTAACTTATTGCGGAGAGATTCAAGTTGGAATTACTTTTACTGCAAAGGTAACAATATAAAATAATCCCTCAAACCTAAAGTGACCAATATAATTAGAATTGGAAAGTTACAAGAAAAAATATATATAACGGAACCTAAACAAACAATAAGTTTTAGGCTTCTTTTAACAACTTGATACTGATGTACAATGTTTGATCAATGTTATTTGATTACAGAAAGAAACTGTTGAAGAAGACATTATTTGAAAATCTTTACGAAGATATTTGAACGACGAAGAATTAACCACCAAAAGAATCAGCCTTTGGTAGCAAGAAGAATAAGGAGGAAGAAAAATACATACTGACTTGATTTGGGAATTTAATGTTGTTGTACAAGCATTCTTTTGCTCCCTCTCAGGAATTTGAAATGCTTTAGGTGTAACGCCCCAAAATCTTTTTAATTTTCATTATTTTATTCTTTTATAAAAATAGGCTCGATGTGTTACCAACACCTTCTTTGTCTAATTTCAGCAGAAATATTACTTTCATTAAGTATTGAAAATGCATAAAAATAGCTATTAAACAATGTTTACAAAATTCAATATGAAGATATTCTTCAAATAAAAGTTTGACAATTATATTTTCTAGAAAATTTACCCGTTTTCGTGTGAAAGATATTGTAAGAGTAAATACCTTGAAAATACTCAATAAGAATACGTACACGTTCTTATTCACAAGATATAAATATAAAACTGACATAACATACCAATAATTTTTAGATTTAGAGTTCAAGGAATTTCTTAAGAATTCTCATATTCTGTAGGATTTAACATAACTGATCGAAAGTCCATTCCGTAGGATTTAACATCTTTGACCTAACGGTCCATCTCGAAGGATTTAATATAGAGTTCGACCCAAAGACGTCATAGTGTTTTATGCCAAAAATTATACAAATATCAAGAAATAAGAATTTACTACTTTGCACGATGTATTTTTACCTCAATTTGATACTAAATAAATCTGAAAATGACTTGTAAATGAGATAATATATCTTTTTAATATGTGTGTATTCACGCGTGAAGGTGTATATGTAAAGGGTCAAAAAACACTTCTCACACCTTTTATATATACAATATTCACTTTAATTAACCTATTTTTTATTTCAAATCAATCATGGTGAGTGTGGAAATTAGTATTCACTGATGGGACGATTGTGTAAAAGTTGAAAAGGTTAATTTATTATATTAATTTCAGAAAAAAATGATCGACTTTATGTTTTCCAATTATCAAGAAACATCCCATTCTTCATTTTACCATGTGTGTGTGCTCTTTTTATTAATAAAATATAGGATTAGAGTAATTTTCTTTCTCTCAAGATAACTCGAATATGATTAGTCCAAAATTTTTTCTTCTTGAGTCAATTTATGTTATTCACCACGAGCTATAAAATGAGTATAATATCGATATTTTTTTATTAACTTTTAAATACTTAAATATTCAACCCAACTAACTTTCGATAAAATTTTAAAAGTATACATAAGCAAATAAATCATGAGGAAATTTAACAAAATGTCCATTTTTACCTAGTCATTTGCAAAAATGTCTAATTCGGAAGAATTTCGATCAAAATACCCTTATTAACAATTTATAATTCCACACTAAGACAAAAAATGGACATTTTCGCAATATTGTTATTGGCCAATAAATTTTTGACACATAACTTCCGATATTTATTTGAAAAAGTATACATGTCAAATCACAATAAATTTTATATTTTTCATTGATTCAGAAATGTCAAGAACGACATTTTTAAATGTAGAGAAATGTCATTTTAGACAAATGAAATAGTGTTCAAATGTCGAGAATGACATATGAAATGTCGAGATACATTATTTTAATGCAGCTTCTTATGGAAGCCACTTCTCAAAATTCGTGACAAATTGATAAAAAAATCAAATGTCGAGAACGATATTTAAAATGTCGAGAATACCATTTCAAAATGTAATTTTTTATTAACGGCATAATAGACAAGTTGACACTAAATTCAAATGAGTTGACACTTTTCAACTCATACCCTTAAAATTTGACATTATTAAAAATGCCCCATAAATCATTTATGCAAATGAGTAGGTCAAGTTTGTCACTTTAACTCTTAAACTTTTACTGTGACGATAAATCTAGATATTGACTATTTCATTTGCTAAATGAGCAATATTAAGTTTAGGTTCATATGAAAATAGTAAGAAAAATTTCGGGATCTTACATACCTTTACCCATAAATAAATTTCATCCTTGAAATTACCTTACTTGACTTTTATTTCCTCTTATTTCTAATGTTTTGATAAGTTTTTGTCACGTTTGTCACCTAAATGTTCTATTATGCTTTATCTTTATTAGTCAACTTATACATTATGCTAATATGCTCTAGTAAAATGACTAATCATCATATCTTCATATATATTAAACAATAAAATAACTTGCATAACATATTTCATTCTAAACATCATAAACATTTCGTGAAATCAAGCTTAAATGATTTATAAATCATAAATAGAACATAATATTTCATTCATACTATTCACTTAAACATGTTGAAGAAATACACACACAGACAAAATATTCACTTACCATTAACTAGGAATACAAATCATCACACGTTAGGGGGAATTCAATAGGTTAATTAACCTATTCTTTATTTCAAATCAATCGTGGTGAGTGTGGAAATTAGTATTCATTGATGGGACGGTTATGTAAAAGTTGAAAAGGTTAATTTATTACAAAAAAAATGATTGACTTTATGTTTTCCAATTCTCAAGATACGTCATATTCTTCATTTTACTATTATATATGGATAATACTGTGTCTATACCTTATGGTGTACACACAGTTTTACACCTTCCTCACATGAGGGAGGCTCATGAATATTTTATTACATATGGGCCCCCTCCATGTAAGCAGGGTGTAAGCCTATGTGTACATACATCACAACCCATTATATATATATATATATATATATATATATATATATATATATATATTGTCAAACTTAATGTCACTATAGTATGATTAATACAATTATTGGATCTTTATACCTTTGTCTCGTTCATAGTCTCATTTAAAACTTCTCAGGAGGCTTGGGATGCTCTTAGAATAACTTGTACAAAATCATCTCATGGTCAAATCATGCAGTTAAAAAGCCATCTATCCAACATCACTAACTATCACCAATCTGTTAAAAGCAAACTAATGAGCCCATTTTAATTATCACATTCACATTAAAGATCTTACTTATGAGTGGGCGTGGTTTAGTTCAGACCGATTCTAAAGGAAATCGAATCGAAAACCAATGAGAATATTTGAAATGGAACCATCGGTTCCATATCCAACTACAAAATCGAACTGGAACCGAAACAATCGATTCCAATTCAATCCTGTTCATTTCTTTACATTGAAAAAAACTTTAAAAATAAAGTATGAAACTACTTGTGAAATTAAAAATTGATAAAAATAGAGTATAAATCACTTATCATTCTTGTAATCTAATAATAGAAAAACAATTAAACAAGGCAACAAACAAAATTCACTCCAAAACTTAACATCAACTCATAAAGGCGAAAAAGGAATAAACTGTGGAACACATCATAAATAGTAAAATCTTGATCGAGAATTAATTCTTATGAAAATCCATATAACAATAACTTGATTATCTTTAGCAATCTACCAGGATCTTGATTCTTGATGACCGATCACTTTGATAACAATGAGAAATTTGAATTCTTGTGAAATATTGAACTACAAATATATTTTTTTCTATTGGGTTACATTAAAACTATGAATTTGTAAAGTATTTATAAAATTGTTTAAATTTTAATTTTGACTATCCATTAAAGAAAAAGAAGAATAAACGTATGGAAAATAAAATTTCAATGTGAGATAATTTTTGGATCTAGCGTTTAAAGATCTAGTGCATTTCTATACAAGCAAAAAGAGAAATTCGGGATAATCGAATTCACACAAAAATTATGAAACCCTTTTGATTGTTGCATGCAAATGGTCTCCTCAAGTTCTCCATAAATTTTTTTTATCTTGACATCCATTTGCTCGAACTCCAAATCATTCATTGTCACAAACCCAAGTAAAGTCTGAATGAACTATGTTTCACAATTGGTGAGAACACGTCTGTGATGTCAACACTTGAAATCTAACAGTAGCCCTTTGTTACCATCTGGCCTTTATATCTAGCTTCTTCAATACCTGATGTTCCTTCCTCCCTTTTGAACGTGCATTTGTGGCTAACAACATTTTTATCTTTGGGTAATTTTATCAAGTCTCAAGTACTTTTTTATTCAACGATTTCATCTCCTCCTGCATAGCAACCAACCATCTACTAGAATCACTGCAGCTACTGCCTCTGATTATGTAGTTGGTTCCTCGATGGAATCAATACTGTCAACCACATTTAATGCACGAGCTCCCAAAACTGTCTCTCCATACTTCTGTGGACATTTAATCTGTCTACAAGATATATTTTTAGCAATCAAAATACCGTGGTGCTGTTAGTGGTGTAGGCAAAATAGGTAAAGTGTTGCTGCCTATTAGCTCTGAACTAGAATGATTTGAAGTACACTATTCTAAAGCCTCTGATTGTTTGCCTGAACCAATTTCCAATTCCACTTGAGTTAGATAATTATATTCCTTAGTTTTCAGGCAGATCATTTCTAGTGCTTTTTAAAATAAAAGCACCAAGCTCGATTGGATATGAAACATCGCCAAGAGTTATCCACTCAATGGGAACCAATTTCAACAAGTATTCCGTCGACGCAAAGTAGTGTGTTTTAATGCATTGTTTTTTTCTTATGTTTAATGTTGTTCTATGTCTTTTGTTAATTTAACATATTGTTAGTTAACTTTGTAATGTTGTTTTGTGTGGCTGAAAGTTGTCTTCCTATCGGATTTACTTCCATTTATTAAAAAAAAAAGAATTATGTTTTTTATGGTTTGTAAAGTTCTTTTTGAAAAATTAATAACTACTTTAATTGTTCAATTGATTTTTTTTCCAAAATTTTTTATTTATTCTACTGTTAAATAAATTACATTAATAAACTTTCATTATTAATTGAATCTCTTTCTCAATAAATTTGAGGTTGTCTAATGAATCAATGAAAAATATATTTTTTAATTGTTTTCTTTCCTTTTATTTTTTTGGTTGAAAGTGAATAAAAAAAAGTGTTGTAATAATTGAAGCCATATTTATATGAACTAATTACATAGGGCATTAGCGAGATATGCCATTATTTTAATCTCAATAATTTATTTATTTATTTTTTTCAAAATAGGGCAATGAGCATTTGAAATATAAATGTCCTTTTGATTTGTGTTTTATGTTTTGAGTTTGTTTTCCATTTTTGTAAAAATGAGAATGAAAAATATAGTCGTTATAGGCCCCATACAAGATATATAAATTCAAATTTGTCGGCTTAATATAATAGATAACGATCATATTTTTCATTTTAATGGGAAAGAATGGAAAACAAACGGGAGCTTTGTTTCACTTTTGAGTTTATTTTTTAT